AAACAACTCACTTTTTCTTTTTTTTATCAATGTGGAATTGTAATTATTTTAAAGTTAAATATCATAAGAGTTTCAAAATCTCAGACAAAATTATTTTTAAAATCAAAAATTATGTGAGATTGTAAAATAAAAGTTAAATAGAAGGTAACCAATGAGAATTTTCTTAATTATTTATAATTAAGAAAATCATAAAAAAAAATGAGTATGAGATATTTATCATAGGAGTTCTCACTAAAAATCTATTTTTGCTTATATAAATGGGAGCATACGATTTACTTTATGTAAGTGAAACAATTCACTTTTTCTTTCTTTTTTCGATGTGAAATTGTAAAATAAAAGGTAAATGAAAGCTAATCAATGGAAATCAGAGAGGCATAGTTTAGGTTGGTGAATTTATCATACTCTATCATTTTGTAAACTCATATGCATATTTAAAAAAAAAAAAAATCAAATTCATTCTAAAGTCATGTTCATGTTATTTCAATGTATTTATCTTTAATAGAAATATATGATCTATTTATAAAGTTATATATATTATTTATTTTTAAAAAATAAATATAATAAAATTACATAATTATAAATGATGAATAACTCTGAAACCGGTCTTCCCAGAACATACTGCGACCGGACTAACTCTAAGACCGGCCCTACTCCGAGTTGTCTCTGGACCGGAGTAGCCTTACTCTTCCTTGAGCCGAAGCAACTATCTCCTCTTGAGCCGGAATAAACTCACCTCCTTGGGCCGAAGTAACTTTGTCTCCCCAAGGCCGGAGTAACCTTGCCCTCTAGGCCGGAGTATTCAGTACGGCCTTTTTACGTAGTCCTTCGCGTTTTGGGCCTCAATGCCCAACTCTCAGCTCGGCCCAATTTTTCCCAAAAATTACCCTCTCAGGACCCAATTGGGAGAGATGGGTGACAACCTCCAAATTTTAAAACCCTTTTATTATAATAATAATAACATTAATTATTAAAAAGAGCCTTTAAATTGTATAAATTAGCCTTCTATTAGAGAGACATATATTCGCCATACAGTTTGGTAAATCATCAATCTAAACTATGATAAAAACTTTCAACCTAAACTATCCCAACCTAAACAATTCATTATATTCCAACTTAAACAATTCACTTTTTTATTCTTTTGCGGTGTGGAATTTTCAAATAAAAGTTAACCAATGAAGATTTTCTTAATTGTTTAAAATTAAGAAAATACAGAAAATTAGTATGAGATATTGAAACTCTCACAAGGATCCTCACTAAATGGGATGAGAGTATAAGGTTGCGTTTGGTAGAGTTTTCTAAATATGATTTGAGAATAGAGTTGTATTTTGAGTTTGTGAGTTTTAGAATTATGATTTGAATGTAGAAAATTTGTTTTGTAAAAGAGTTTTGAATTGAGTTGAAAATTTTTGATATAACATATAATATTTGATACACAAACTTACATCTCATAACCAAACACACAACTCAAAATTCATAAAAAAAAATTAAAAATTCAGAAAATATTTTTTATTGAATATATAAAAATTAACACATGTCAATTGCAATAAAAATAAATAAATTTGCACTGTTCCGGTCAACTAACCGGACGACCGGTAACCCAAATTTTCCCGCCTCCGACCGTGTTTTCAAAATTGAGTGTAGAATTAATTTTTGAAAATCCTAAACAAACATTATGTTCAAATGAAGCTCTGGAACTAACTTTTCAGAGTTTCACCAAATAGAGCCTAAGATTTTCTTTATATGAGTAAACAATTCATTTTTTCCTTTCTTTTCCCAATGTGAGATTATTAAATAAAAGTAATTATTTAAAATTAAGAAAATCAAGAAAAATAGAATGAGGTTTTGGAGCTCCTAAAAGGCTTCTCACAAAAAAGTCCATTTTCCTTACATATATATATATATATATATAATTTTTAATATAAAATTTTAATTTTATAAAATTAATATCATTGAAAATATACTTTTAAAATAGACTAATATTAAATATATTTAATAAAAAAATTAAAATAAATAAAAATTAATTACTATACTTAGTTATGTTTTCAAATTATTATTTTTTAAATATAAAAATTAATTTGATGAAATAAACACACAACTTATTAAGTTTTGAAATGATTTTTGAATTTATGTATTTATTTCATCAAATTAATTTTTATATTTAAAAATTAATAATTTGAAAACATGCATAGTAATTACTTTTTATCTATTTTAATTTTTTATTAAATATATTTAATATTAGTCTCATTTTAAAGGTATATTTTCAATGATATTAATTTTATAAAATTAAAATTTTATATTAAAAATTATATATATTTATATATATTATGAAATTAAATAAAAAAGATTAAAATAGTAGTTTTTTAAAAAAAAATTATTAGAAATGAGAGAGAGAAGAAAAAGAGAAACACTGAGGACGTGTTAGTGGGAGAGAGAGAGAGAGAGAGTGTCAGAGGGATTTTTTTTTTTTTTTTAAACTAATTTGAGCCACAATTTTTAATGGAGTGACATGGTTTAATCTGGGTCATCTCTCGGATGAAGGGCTGTAGAGGATCTGAACTCTGGGCCCGTGGCCGAATTCAGATCCTCTCTAACCTTTCCTCCGAGGGATGGCCTAGATTGGGCCACATCACCCCACTTAAAAATCTACGGCTCAAATTAGCTAAAAAAAATAAAAATCAAAATTCATACAACAAAACAGAGCCCAGCACATCATCTCCTTCTCTTCCTCTGCCTGTCTCCCTCTCCCTCAACGCATCATCTTCACTCTCATCTCCTTTAAGATTTACACCGCGAATCAGAGCCCCGGTGACCGCGAACCAAAGCCTTGACAAGAAAACACGTCTTACTATTGTTTTCCAAGGTGGGTATGACATTGGGTTTCAAGATTTTCAAGCCTCAAATACAAATTCTCGACCAACAAATATTTTAATGTGTAGTCAGGTATTTTTGTTGTTGTTTTGGTCTCAGTTTTGCTCAAATTACTATTGTTTTGGTGTTATTTTGTTGTTTTTGTTGTTATTTTGGTGCTGAAATTGTTGATAGTTTACTGCTGAAATTGCTGTTGTTTTGGTGCTGAAATTGCTTCTGTTTTGCTCTTTTTTTTTGTTGCTATTTTTTTATGCTATTTTGCTATTATTTTGTACTGAAATTGTGCGTGTGTGTGTGTGTGTTTTTTTTTTTTGTGTGCTGAATTTGATGTTGATGGACTGTGGTCATCGGTGAAGAATGGTGGACGATGGTCACCGATGGAAAATGACGATAGTGCAAATCTTGAAGGAGATGAGAGTGAGTGTTATTTTGTACTGAAATTGTGCGTGTGTGTGTGTGTGTTTTTTTTTTGTGTGTGCTGAATTTGATGTTGATGGACTGTGGTCATCGGTGAAGAATGGTGGACGATGGTCACCGATGGAAAATGACGATAGTGCAAATCTTGAAGGAGATGAGAGTGAGAATGATAAGCTGGGAGAGAGGGAGACAGACAGAAGGAGAGAGGGAGATGATGTGCTGAGCTTTGTTTTGCTGAATGAATTTTGATTTTTTTAAAGTTAATCTGAGCCGCAAATTTTTAGTGGGGTGACGTGACCCAATCTGAACCATCCCCGCGAGAGGAAAGGCTGGAGAGGATCTAAACTCCCCGTGGCCCCCCACTTTTGGCTTGACCACAGTGTTTATTTTTTTATTTATTTTTTACTGCTATTTTCTATGTGATGTGTATTGCCTTCCTACTCTTCTTTATTTTGTTCTTTTTACTTTAAAGTAATTCATGTGATATTCTCTTTCTTTTGTCTTTTGTAATTTTTTTTATTCTTATATTTTTTATTTTATCTCTTCTTTTAATTTTAAGTTTTTTTTTTCTTTTTCCTTTGGACTTATCTCTTGATTGCAAATTACATGTTAATCTTTTTTTTGTCACAAATTTAACCATATAATACCCAATTCATTATCATATAATTGTGAATAAATTGTAAATCTCTCACATTATTTACATTTTTATTCAAGTTCTGACTCCTCAAAAGACAAAAGTCTGGTTCCGTCCCTGAAACAATCACAAGATATAGAACAATTATTCACTATTCCAAAGGCATTGACATTGGATTAGTTTGTGACATTGCCACATAAGGCATGGAATAATTTATTCAAGATATGACTCGAACCATTAGGAAAGCAGTCTAGTTGAATGGATGGTGAAGGACGAGTATAATTTTTGACTTTGATGAAAAGTAAGCAAATCAATAAAATTTCTATGATTGATAATAATAATAAGAATAATAAAGAATATATATATTTGCAACAGTTTCATTATTAATTTAAAAAAGAAAATTCACAATTTGAATTAAGCATACAGATTCTTTAGAGTAATTTTTTGAATAGTTAAGATTTAATTCTGTAAAAATTAAATGTATAATAATCGAAAGTTGAATGTACAACAGTTACACCAAAAATTATTTTAAAAAAAAATATCACTCTAGAAAATGCGGACTCGATTGAAAATGGCACCATTCCTTCTCAGTTGAGGGTGAGGATATCCTAATCACATGCACAGAATCTATAGTCACCAAGTTGGTTTTTATGGAAGTGATAATCATGAATATATTCCTAATTATTATTCCGTAAGGTTGTTATAATCGAAATCACCAAGGATCCTCTAGAGTGAAATTTTCCTAAAGTTTTCTAGAGTGCTACATTGTGTGGTTTAGATTTACTGGCAAGTCACGTCAATTTTTCTGATGTGACTTGCCAGTAAATCTCAACCACACAATGTAGCACTCTAAGAAATTTTAGGAAAAAATCACTCTAGAGGATCCTTGCTCAATGAAAATTACCATTATTACCATTTTTGTATCAATCCAGTTGAGTCATGAGTGGGCTATGATGGGCATGAATCCAAAACAAAAAGTCGGTTGAGGATTGATTCCAAAACCCTAGCATTTATACCAAAGCAAACAAACAACCCCAACACATCACCTCCTATCCTATATATGCATCAATACCACCCCATCCTCTCACTCTAAAACCTCCAAAAATATACACAGAGAGAGAGAGAGAGAGAGAGAGAGAGAGAGAGGTTTTAGAGAGAGGGGTTTTAGAGAGAGATGGGTTGGATATTGAGGGACAGAAGAGGTCAGGAATGGAAACAAGGGTGGACAGAGCAAGCCCTAGCCTCAACACTTGAAATTCCAATGCCTTTACTGGTCATGTTTTTTATCACAGTCCTCTTAGTATCTACTTCACATTATTTGGATTACAAGTCAAGTTTGGGTCGACCCATACTCAATTTGCAGCTGTTTCTCATAGTAGTGGCTGTGTTGGTGATCTTGTTGATGCACCTGGTGATAATCATCCGAGAACCATGGTCACAGCAGCGGTGGGACGGCTCTCCTTGGTGCGTGGCGGCAGTCGTGTTCTTCCTTCTGGTTTTGGTGTCTTATCAATCATCTTTTCATTCTCAGTGGTATAAACTCATTTAGAAATAGTACTGCTACAATCACCGAAATATCCGATTATTGAAATTACTGACTTCTTATAGTTTGAATTTATAATTACAAATATGAAAGTAGAAATGCTATGAGTCGTAAAAAACATAGTTTGAAATAAGGTGTATGATTTAAATTTAAATTTGTGTGATGTGAACCTATTTAAAATGATTGTATTATATAAATATATTTTTTCAATTATTTTACTATTCAAATTGATGAATTATCGATTCCCGGGTGGATGGGTCGGACCGGCCCAGGTTCTCCAGACTCTGACTCAAAAAGGGGGCTCCGCCAGATGACCTGCAAGCAAGTTCAAGGGGGGAACGGGGTAGTCCCCCAGTGAACCCTCCGGTGAAACCAACTGATGAATTATCGATTCCCGGGTGGATGGGTGGGACCGGCCCAGGTTCTCCAGACTCTGACTCAAAAAGGGGGCTCCGCCAGATGACCTGCAAGCAAGTTCAAGGGGGGAACGGGGTAGTCCCCCAGTGAACCCTCCGGTGAAAGAATTAGAAGAGCAGAGTATGAAAAGACTGTATATCGAGAGATCAAGAGAGAGAGCAACTTAACCTCCTTTTTTTCCTTTTATCCTTGCTTATATCCTTTTGTCATCATTTTTCCTGTCTCTTGTGACGTGCTTTTTCCGCCGAAAGCCTGTGCCATAGCTCATCTTGTTTAGGGTGATGGAGGCTCTGTTCCGGCGGGGAGTGCTGTTGTAATAAATGCTGTGATGGGTTGCATTAATGGTGATGTGTCGTGATAATAACTCTGCAGATCTTTGTCTGCTGATGTGGCCCGTGTCCCACCTGCCGTGTGCCTAAATGCCGTTGGTCCTTCATGTCTAGGTGGCCTCCAGCTGTTCTGGGCCTTGTCACCCAAGCAACCGGGTTGTGCCATTGGCCCCAAGCACTGGGTTCGGGGTGGTTTACCGTGGGCCGTGTGCCTTGTGGGCCTATCCATGTCACAAATCATAAAAATAGGGTCAAAACAAACTCCACCTACTCACAGCAAACTGTTGTGACATTACCCGCAGTTCCCGAATAGCCTCCTCTTGCTGATGATTGCTGATGATTGGAGCCATATTTAAACATCAAACAAAATAGACGAAGTTGAGTTTGGGAAGTGAATTTTTTAGTTTTTGGTCGAAAATATAAGGTAAGATATTAAAATATTTGAGAATGATTTTTTAATTTTTTAATTTTTTTTTACAAAAAAAAAAAGTGTAAAAGTAAAATTTGACTTTTTAAAATAATTGTTTACTTTTAACTAATTTAATCACTTCTCAAATATAGCTTAGTCTTCCTAACTACATGCCACGCAAGTCAACTCTTTCTTTTAGTTTTGATTATTTAAATGGGAAGTGCTAGATCATAATTTTATACTTATAGATTCACTCGCAATTATATGAGAAGAGAGTTTGGTCCTATATCATTAGGTGTGTAAAAAGAATTCTAATGTTATTCTTTAATTTTTTACTTGTTAAAATACAAAAAATAAACACTGTCTATTTTACCTAACTAATTTTTTTGATCTATGTTCTCAATGCTGCTCTTTATTTTACCAATTTATACACAAAAAATGCTTAAAAAACCCCCCAAAGCTCTCTAAATATAGCTAGCGATTTTTTGTTGTTGTTGTTGTTGTTAAAATAGCTAGTGTAATAGCTAGCTGTTCAAAAGAGTAAAATATGATGAGAATCGTGATAATAGACAATGTGCCCCTTTTAAAGAGCTCGTTGGAAATGCTCTAACAAATAAAAAATTAACATACTTCATGTTACATCATTGTGAATCAAAGAAAAATATTTGAGACTCCAGATAAAAACCCTTCACAATTTCACCTACAATGATGTGGAAGGATAGTGTCAACTTTTAATTTATCACACACTCAATCATATAGGGCTCTACTTCCTTGCCACATCATTGTTAGTGTATTTGGGGGTCTCAAATACAAGTCTCTAGTATTACTTGTAAATCAAATTATGAGATCTTTTTGAAAGTCTCAAATATTTTCCTATTTGAATAGTCTATTTAACTAATGAAATGAATGTGGAAATTTGGTATATATTTAAAATTAAAGGGTCAAGTTCAGTAATTTAGGGATAATTATAACAAAATAAAAAAATAAAAAATAATATACCTAGAGTTTAACTCTCGTAACAAAATAAAATCTAAGTTTTTAATTTTATCAATTTAAACTCTAGTCTTTTGATTATTTTTTTTTCATTCTAAACCATTTGCCTATTTTTATTAACTAAAATTTATGAAAAAAATAGTATTTTAGCCATTAAACTCAATGTAGGTTTCAAAAAATGTTTAAAATCAATTTTCATTGAGTTAATGACTAAAATACCTATTTTTTCATCGATTTTACTTAACGGAAATAGGTAAATGGTTCAGATTGAAACAAAATCAAAATCAAAAGTTTAGGGTTTAAATTAACAAAATGAAAAACTAAGGGTTTATTTTAGGATAAATTACAAATACATCCCCTGAGATTTGCTTAAAATACAAATTGCCCCTTGTGGTTTGAAAAATTACAAATACCCCTCTTATTAGAATTTTTTATTTAACAGAATTAACTGAAAAATGAAATTCATAATTGCTCTCCTATACAATAATAAAATTATCTAAATTATTAATTGAAACATATTTTTAATATTATTAAAAACTATTAATTAACTTGATGATTTATTAATAAAAAGGGCAATTTGTTAAGAAATTAGAAACCTTAGGGGATGGAATATAATTTTCAAAACTACAAGGGGCAATTCGTATTTTAATCAAATCTCAAAAAGTGTATTTGTAATTTACCCTTTATTTTATTATAAAAGTCAAACTTGAATTTTTTTGTATTTTTTTTTTGTGGTAATTTTCTCATAAATTTAATATAACTTACGAATCTACCATACTATTTAATATGCTCTTAAAAATTTATTTATTGGTGACCATAGTCACCCAATTAAATTGCACCAATAAAAAAAGAAAAAAAAAAGGGTGAGAACTCAATTTCTAAAGGTATGTATGGCATTAGATTCAAGAATTATTTTGTTTTGATTGTAAGGTTATATGGTTAATGAAATTATTAGTGAGAACAACAAATTATTATTTTAAAAGAAATTTTTTTTTTATTTTTACTAATTGTCATCGAATCATTGGCTGCCAAAAAAGTTGTCAAAGGAAGCCTCTACCAATGGCTAGTGGTGGCAACTACCAGTGAGTGGTGGTGGTGGTAATATAGATAGATAGGTACATTAAGTGGATAGATAGGTAATACGTGGACAAATAAATGAATAACATGTGAATAGATAAATGACTCTAAACAGATAAGTGGACACATATGTAACGTGGATAGATAGACATATAAGCAGGAATAACGTAATCTTTCAAATTGTTATTGGTCTTATTGTCCCAAAAGTTTGAGGCTATTATCCCAAAAATTTCAAAATTAGATTTATGGCCAAATACCCTAAGAAAATCGCATTAATCAATAATAGAACTCATTTCCCTAAAAAATGGATTGGTTCATACATTTGGGAGTGTGAACAAACACACATAAATAATGGCCATAAAATATCATATTTGATTGGTTAAAATAATAAAAATATAAAGTTGTCTTTATTTTACTCCACGAGTTATGTGGTAACCTAACAGTACTACTACATATTCAGATATTTTATTCAGAATAAAAATATATATATATCAAATTATAGTCTAGATTTATTATATATATATATATATCAGACACTTTTCACTACATAAATTCAATCTTTATCACACAATCTTATTTTGAGTAAAAATTTAGAAAACTTTTATGAGTTAACAGAATTATTGGGTACATAAAAGCAATGACGGATGCAAAAATTTTGTTAAGAAGGGACCAAAACTATGTACAGTAAAAATTACTCAAATTATTACAAAAATTTTGCTATGTTATGCTAAGAATACAAATTAAATATCATTCTTAAATTTGCAAATAATATTTTCAATCAATAAACATTTACAAAATACAAAGTATCAAAACAAGAATATAAATTTCTATTACATTTTATGCAACATATAAGATCAAAAAAATAATAACATATAAGTACTTTCGACACTGACAGTAATCAATCACATTAGGTTGAAACTAACACTAATTAAGCAATAATTGAGAGGGGAGTTTTGTGCCATGCTAAAGGGGCCAAGCTGTAATTGGCCAAGCTCGGTCGAGCTATGATGGGCCAAGCACTGCCCACCGCTTTGTGGTTAGCTGGGCCAGTGAAGATGGACTTGAGACTACCTTACGGAGCTAACCAAGCTCCATCTTTCCAGTCAGGATGTTTTTCATATGACGCAAGCTAAGGGGTAGTTTAGGATTATCTAAATAAGTGTACTTTTTGACTTTTTATGAAATATGGGTTGGGTATGGGTTGGATTTGAAGTGATGTGTTAGAGAAGTGATGTGACTTAAATAAGATGATGTGACTTAGGTCAAGTTTGGCTAACAAAAAAAAGTACACTTATTTCATCTTTTTATCTTTTTTGGGTCACATCAATCAACATCTTCTCTCTACTTTTTCTACACATAATACAAAAAAAGTCAAAAAGTACACTTATTTAGTCTTTCCAAACTTGGCCTTAAATAGGATAGTGACTTTTTGACTTTTTGGATTTTTTTAGATATGCCAAACTAGGCCTAAGCCAACCGTGTTGTGGATGACTGAGCAAAGTTGGACCATAGAAGAGGGCAAGGGCGGAGCGCTTGCATGCTACTAACCAAGCTGGTAGCTCAGTCGAAGCTCTGAATTGCAGCACAACGCATGGCTTGTGGGTGATGGTCATGGGCTAACCGAGTTGCTGTCACGTCGGTCGAAGGTAGCTCGATTAGATGTTGCCCACGCCCCAACTGTTAGTGGGGGACAAACAATGGCTTGCCCAAGTTAATGTTGATTGTCCAATTGTCTACCTCTGAGAGGTGCACGCGTATGTGAAGGAACATGTAACGTCCCTAAAATAATTACAATAATCCATTCACAATATCCAATATATGACAACAACAATAATGGGGGTATCTTCTATTAAATCCAATATGATATACAAAAGAGAAACATATTCATCATATATTCATAAAGTCTAATCCTAAATCTATAGCATATGTTGCAAGTTAAAAGAGAGAAAGGAAGATAAAAGACAAAAATGCCCTGAGGGCTTACATAT